CTGAATCTATTCACTTTTTTATACAGAGTTCTAAAAAATTTGGCTTTCCAAATCCACATGAGATGAAAAGCAACAATATGAGCCCTAGTCAGTGTGGCTCAGTTTGTTGGGTGTCTTCCTGTGTACCAAAAGGTTGCTGGTTTGATTCTGGGTCAGGGGCATGCAGGAGGCAGCTGACTGATGTCTTGCTCTCACATGCATGTTTTTCTAAGGAAACAAACAAACAAAAAAAACACAATAAAAAAGCAATTATGAGAAGCTCTTATAGACAAAGCATACCGATAATAGCAAAAAGCAGTATCTGAGAGTTTACAAGTATGAAAATCAAAAGGAAAGCTACTACAAAAAGTTGTAAAAGGCCAAATTTGACTCTTCTAAGGTTACTGACTCAAGAGTAATTTTACCTACTTCAGGAGGCTCTTAAATCAGTATGCTAATACACTATATAATTGAAATTAATGACAACCTTGAGTCAATATAGTTCCTTCTGTTCAAGTATTAATTTTGATATCAGCCTACCTCTTTTTTTTAAAAATATATTTTATTGATTTTTCACAGAGTGGAAGAGAGAGGGATAGAGAGTTAGAAACATTGATGAGAGAGAATCATCGATCAGCTGCCTCTTGCACACCCCCTACTGGGGATGTGCCCGCAACCAAGGTACATGCCCTCAACCAGAATCGAACCCGGGACCTTTCAGTCCGCAGGATGACGCTCTATCCACTGAGCCAAACTGGTCCCGGCTCAGCCTACCTCTTGATAGGGTGACCACATCTGGTTTGCTTGGGATTGTCCCAGCTTAAGCCTGTGGTCCTGGCATAATTATTACTAGCTCTTCCCTTTATTCTTCCAAGTGTCCTGGTTTGGACTCTAACTTTTAGGGTCATCCTACTGAGTGTTTGCTACGTGCCAGGGTTTATTCCAGGTGCCTTCACTTGTCCTCATAATCCTATGAAATGGAGTACAATTATTACCCCTCTTTTAAACATTAACTAATAAGACTGAGAGGTTAAATAATTTCCCTAATATCATTCAATTATTAAGTGTTAAAGGCCTAAAGCCTATATGTGACCAACCCAGACATCTGACACCAAAGTCCTCAGATTTAAACAGTATAATACATAGTATTCTCTCCCACTTAGGAAGAGGAGTATTGAACAGGAAGAGGGAAATATGCAAGGTTTTAGAAGTATTAGGATATATATAGAGAGAGGTTTCAGCTATATATGTCTATATAGTCCTATGGTTTCCATACTCCCATAAATTTACAATACTGAAATATCAAGGAAAATCTTTCATTTTTTAAAATCCTCACTCGAGAACATGCTTTTTATTGATTTTAGAGAGGAAAGGGAGGGAGGGAGGAAAAGAGGGAGACAGGGAGAGAGAGAGAGAGAGAGAGAGAGAGAGAGAGAGAGAGAGAGAGAGAGAGAGAGAGAGAGAGAGAGATTGATTAGCTAGAGATTCAACCCACAACCTGGGTATGTACCCTGACCTGGAATTGAACATGCCACCTTTCTATATGGGACAACATTCCAACCCAGTCACATCAGCCAGGGCAGAAAATCTTGAAGTGTAAATATAGTTCAGATTTTTATGAGCATGGGCTTAGAAAACAAAAATTTCAAAACAATATTTTTCTATTTCCTCTTTCACTTTTTTATTTCAAAATTATTTTTGGGAAAAATAGTATTTGATCAGTCACATGTGAATAAGCAAACTACACAAAAAAAATTAATAACAACAAACAGCAGCCCTAGCTGGTTTGGCTCAATGGATAGAGCATTGGCCTCTGGACTGAAGGGTCCCAGGTTCGATTCCAGCCAAGGGCATATGCCTGGGTTGCCCGCTGGATCCCCTTTAGGGGGCGTACAGAGGGCAGCCAATCAATGATTCTCTCTCACCATTGATGTTTCTATCTCTCTCCCTCTCCCCCTTTCTCTCTAAAATCAATAAAAAAGATTAAAAAAACAAACATCAACTCAGAGGCTACTTTATTCTTCATTCTGAAAAAGATGCTACGTATCAGCTAATTAGTCTTTCAATGGTCATATTAAGTAGGCTACAAAAATAAAGAGGTTCAGACTTACAATACTGTACTTACTTGGCTAATCCTCACCGGACGATAGTTTTCTATTGGTTTTATAGTGGAAGGAAGGAAGGAGAGACAGAGAAAAATTCATCAATTGGTTGCCTTCCACAGGCACCTCAACCAGGGTTGGGCATCGAGCCTACAACAGAAGTACGTGCCCTTGACCCAAACTGAACCCGGGACCCTTCAGTCCTTAGACTGACACTTTATCCACTAAGCCAACCGGCTAAGGCTGTAATACTTATTTTTAACATTAAAAAAAATGTTTTATTGATCTTTTACAGAGAGGAAGGGAGAGGGATAGGGTCAGAAACATCGATAAAGAGAGAAACATCGACCAGCTGCCTCCTGCACACCCCCTACTGGGGATGTGCCCGCAACCAAGGTACATGCCCTTGACGGGAATCGAACCTGGGACCCTTCAGTCGGAAGGCCAACGTTCTATCCGCTGAGCCAAACCGGTCAGGGCTTTAACATGTTCTTTAATCTACTTAACTGTGCTCATTTAGAATGGATAAATTATTACATCCTCACAGCCCTTTCCTGTTTGTAAAGGGCTTTTCCAGATTTAATCCTCAGCAACCAGGTATGGTAGACAGATGGTCCCATTCTCATAATAGGAAGAAACTGAGGCTCAAAGAGATTAATTTGCCTAAATGCATTGTGACAGGAAACTGAAGTGGAGGAATGACTCCAAATTCTACATGGAAAGAAAGCAATTACTTCAATACTTAAGAGCAAAAGAAAAGCCTCAGACTTCCTATTGGTTAAAACAAAACAGATTATCTATAGATTCATGCTGTCTGAAAAGCAATAATCACTGGAGCCTGCCTGCATTTCTCTAGTAGCTTTAATATCCATTAAAAACTGAATAATCATGTTTTGGATCTCAAAGTATTAAATTTGCAAGCAAAAACAGGACCTATAAAAGGCAGAACTAGATTATTTTTTCAGTGGCAAATGTAATGAAAGGTGTTCCCAACTCCTCTACGATTTACCACTGCTGAGATTATTCCATAACAAGGAAACACTTTCAAAACAATTTTCTCCCAAAGCTCATTTGCCAGATTCCATAAATTAGTTGCTACCAAGGGCCTGTATCAGAGGAACTCCCAACTAAACAAAAGGCTTTTCTTCCAATCTAAAAAGGTACATTAAATACACGATGCTGGCCACATTACATAATGATGGAAAACAACAGCTGATAGCCAGTTTGGGACACATGCCAACTGTTCCCATTTGTCTGACAATATTAAAATTAATTGCTACAACACTGTTTTCAAAGAAAATCATTACCTTTAAATGAGAAAATATAATCGACTAAAATCTTAAAAAAGGCTCAAGATAATGGTGCCTCTCTATTACAATATTAGTTTTAAAAATTTTAATGTTCTGAAGTATAAGTAAACACATCTCAACAGCTTTATATATTTTCATATATTTTATTTTTTAACACTTATAATTTTGCAAGCTAGCAGTAAAATATTATCCTCAATATTTTACTAATTAGCACCGTATACCTTTTAAAGCTAACTGGAACATTGTTTCATTGTAAATGATTGTAAAATAAAATGATCATATTAAATGCCAAATTAGTCTCAAGTAACATGTGAATCATTAATTTTATCAATATTTTTGGCTTTATGCACAAAGATGTATTTCAAAGACGAACTTAATAGTAAAATCAGTTCTGTCAATCTAACAAATCAAAGTACCACAGTTAAAGCAATATTTAATCTCTGAAATTATATAATTAAAGAGGCACATATGAAAATTGAGAAATCAGCTATAAAAAAAACAAAAAATATTATGTAACTTAAATAAAGTTCCTTATTTCTTAGAAAAATGAGGAAAATTCCATGGTACAAGTATCAGATACACATATGGTTTTGTATATGTCAGTATCTTCCTGCTTTAGAGTTTGGCCTTAACAGAAAGCTATCAGAATGTTCAGGGTAATTCAAGGGACAACTGGAAGCCTGAAATAAAACTGCTCAGTGCATGAGATCCCAAGCCATTCATATAATTTTAAATGGAAGCCCACATATTTAACTTTTGTTTCCAACTAAAAAAATCTTTTGAAAGTGCGGAAAAATATCTAATTAATATATTCAATTTACTTCTACACCTTAAAAAAGGGAGTTTTTTTTCATTTCCTGTTTTGTGATAAGAGCATTCTTCAGAGCTATGAAGCCACCACTGACTGCTTACTAGCATGCCTGTTTGCATACCAGTAGAATCCAGTCCAGTTTTGCCATTTGTGGATAACTATGACAAGATACAAAAGCATGTGTATGCCATAAATAGCTCTGGCTAACAGCAAACTGCTCACACTGAGCAGATCAAATTCTCTATAAGGAGAGCAGTCTGGACCACAGCCAAACCCCACTCCTAATGTTTAAAACTGCTACATCAATTCTTTTTTTCCCCAATTTGTAAAATATATTAAGAAATAGCAGCTAAAATTAAAGTCCTTAAATATGGGAAGTATTACTAAACTTGTGGACATTTTACAAATTATTTTTATTATAAGAGCTTCCTGTTTTTACTACATAACTACTTAAAATGTAAACGTGAATTAAAAATAACTATCCTAATTTATCCAAAAAACAAATCAGGTATTGGAGAGTATTTATGTCAAAGTGCAAAAGAAAAAAAAAAAGAAAAAAAAATTGATCTCCATATGAATAAAGAAATAAACGAATGCTTATAAAGTATCCCTCTGTATTTTATATTAGTTGGCTTTAGGATATTTTTTTAAACCAAATAAACCCAACAAAACTGGAAAATACCATGCATGAATGTCGTAAGAAAAAAATTCTTAAATGACCAATGCCGAGATTAATAATAGCTGTTTGCTTCACATAACATTTGCAAAATGTCCAAGGAAAACAAGGCAACGTTCCCGTAACATGCCACAATTTTTATTGCAAAGTGGCCATTTTTGTGAGGGTAGGGAGTTTGATCTCAAAAACAACGTTCCATTTAAGGCTCTTTTATACAGAAATTGCCATCATGACTGATAAAGTATCTTTAGTGTTGCAAGACTTACATGGTAAACATAAAACTCCTACCTACACTTATTCAGTAGTGTACACTCAATGGAAAATAAAAAGGCATTAATATCAGCTACTTCTTTTAAGAAGATACGCAGGTAACAGGAATGAACACTGACTTACTAGGGTAAATTGATGACACAGTTAACACAACTTATTGGCATTCCTTTTGAAGGTGGGAAGTTAAACTCAATACAAAAAAAAAAAAAAAAAAGTGCTTTCGATGCATAGTGTTATATCTGTGCTGCCATGTCACAAAAACAGGCTTGCCAAGGCAGGTGAGGTGTATGAATGCTGAAGCCTCACAGAACTGCAATCAAATGCAACTATAAATAATACTGAATAAAGTTTACCATCTGACCAGTGGATAATACTTTCAAGGCATTCAATTAGCTTACCCTTTGCAGTACTCTAAGCTATTCACATTGACAATCACATTCAGTGTAGTGCTTGCTGCAAGGGAGGCATGTCCCCAGCTGTTTTGGCTATAATTTCATGGGAAGGCATTCCTTGGGTTCTACATCAAAGGAACAGCACTGAACAGTCTAATGGCAATCACTGATAGGCTGCTTACATGAATGATATTTCCTTCATCCATTGTGATGGAAGGACCCAGTGGGAAGAGGAAAAACGGAAACAAAAACCTAACACTATTCCAATGGACTGAGCTGGAGAAATGGAAGCTCCTTATGATCCACATGGCACTTGACTGTCATTTTATAAGGGTTTTCCTTCAAGTGAAACGACTACATTGCCTCCCAATTTCTCTCCAAGGGTTGAACGGTCCTTTATGTCATCCAAGCCATTTACTTGCCACTCATGTTTAATACCTAAAAAGAAAAGAAAAAACGTGACTCATGACCTTATTATAATTAAGAAAGAGTAATTCCTCTGCACAAAATATTCCATGTTTGTACCTGTAAATTTCTTCTTAATGGCATCTTTAGAGCTAGCATAAATCATCTTGCTTTTTAAAGGTGCACTTTCAGGAGCCCTACAGAAGGAAAAAAAATAATTGCTGAATATCACTTAAAAGAAAAACAAAAGGCAAAACTGACTATGTTAATAACAATCCTTGCATTTTAAAAGTACTTTTTTCTTTTGTTTTTACACACCAGAATATAAATACTAGGTCTTCTTTCTTAGACTCTTTTGTTTCGTATGTGGCATCGTATAAAGCATATCGGCAATCATTCAGAGGTAGCAACTTCACAAAAGATGTGTAGGGGTCCTCTACAGTATCACCAATGTCACCCACCAAGATCTGCTTTGCTTCCTCTACAATTATTTGTCTTTTGTCATCGCTTAGACAGAAGAGAACTGCTTTCTTTCTTTTTTTGATCTCTTCTTGTGTAGAAGATTTTCTTACTTTCATATCATTAAAAACTTTGATGACTTCATCATTCACTGTAACTCCAGAAGCCTAAAAAAAAAAAAAAAAAAAAAAAAAAAAAGAGAGAGAGAGAGAACAAACAGTAAATCAGAACTAAGTATTTTGGTTTAACCAAAATTACTATTTGCCTGGAGAGGATTCACTTTAGTCTGGACAGCAAAAATTGCACCTTCCCGTGCAAGCAGTCCAATCCGGATTTGCCACATTTTAAGTGCCAGCATATTATGCGTCTAAGGATTCTAACTCATCCTGCCCCATCCATCCTTTTAAAGGCGGCTTGCTGGTTGAAGCAAACGGGAGGCCGATGGAAAGGGACAAATACAAGCTGTCCCATCCCTGACATGTTTCCTCTTTCACTGGGTGATGTCAGAGCTTCGGGAGCAGCGGCAAAAATACCTTCTGTATTGTGTCAACTCTGCGGGCCTTAAAAAAAAAATACCACTTGGATTTCAGTTAATGCTCCTACTATTTTTTTTTTCTTAAAAGTCATCTAGCCAGTGCCGCTTCCTCATAAGGAAAGAGAATCAGTGTGAGCCCCAAACCGCCCACGGCGTCCACATCACCGCCTCCGGCGCGAACGCAGGCTCCGCGCTAACGGGCCCGGCGCACGGGCTTTCCCCCCGGGAGAGCGCGTTAGGGAGCCGTTCCCCACCGCCCTGCGCTCCCCGAAAGCGTTCTCCCCGCAGGCCGCCCGGCCCCGCACCCAAAGCCTCCCTCCGGCAAGGCCCCGGAGCCCGGACCAATTTTAGAGCCGCGCGTGTTCGGTGGAGCTGGGCGGCGAAGGGCAAAGGCGGCGCCCCGGCGGCTCCGCAGCCTCGCCCGCGCCGTCACCGCTCCCGGGGCCGCGCCGCCGCCCCCCGCCGCCGGCACAGGCCCCCCGCCCCGGCCCTCCCGCCCCCAGGAATCCGAGGAGCGGCTGGGCCCGGCCCCGCGGCGGGAAGGCCGGCCGGCGGAGACCCAGCCGCGGGGCGCCGCGCAGGAGCGCCCACCCTGGAGGCCCAAATCAGGTTAAAATGGCGGGCTCCCTCCCAGGCTCGCCGCGCCCGGCCCCGGCCCCGGCCCCCGGGTCCCCGGGCCGGCCAGCCCCGGGCCGGCGCGCCCGCCTCACCATAGTGCCCGCGGCTGTGGCTGCGCGGCTGGGCTCGGCGGCTGAGGGCGGAGGCGGAGGCAGAGGAGGAGGCGGAGGGGCGGGAGCGGCGAGTGCGGGGCACGCCGGGAGCTGCAGCCCGGGAGGCGGCGGCGGCTGGGGGGCTGCGGGCGGCGGTCACGTGGGCGCCCGGCGGCCCTTCCGCCTCCGCCCCGCCCGCGTCCTCGACCTGACCCGGCGCGCGCCGCCGCCGGCCGCGCCCGCCTCCCGCCTCCGCCCGGCCCCGCCCACCCCCGCCCCGGCGAGCAGCTCCCGAGGGGCGTCCCGCGCGGCCTCCGGGCGCGGAGCGTGTGAGGCGGGGCCCCCGAGGTGCCCCCGGTGCCCCGGCGGTTTCCCTGGGCGGAGGGGCTGGACTCCACCCCCTGAGTCACTGTGGAAAGCCCCCGTGCGCGCTGGGGCGAACCGTCCGCTCTCCGTCCTCCAGGGACGGGAGGGAAACCCCCTAGGGGTTGGTCACCCAGTGGGCTGGGTCACTCCGGGAAAAACAAAAGGAAAAACAGGTGGAAAATCACCGTCTGAAGCCCGTGGCTGAGATAATAGGGGGAACGTGGGCAGTAACATCCCACGGGGACACCCTTTGTGTGTTAGGCCTCATAGGGGCGGAGTGGGCTCTTCCCTGCAAGCCCAGCCCGCACAGCGGCGAGCAGATCCCCTCTTCGGGCCGGGCGTCACCCCCTCCTGGCTGGCACAACGGAGCCAAGGCCCTTCTCTAACTAACCTTTTCCTGTTTACAAGGATGCCATTTGTCATAGAAAAATACTTTGAGGAAAATGTTCATAAGTATTTAAAGGAACTCATGAAAACGTTATAAATGAAACACTTCAATTAGGTATTTAATTACTTGGGCTGATTTATCCTACCTTTCTCCTTAACACTTACAATTTTTTACTTTACTTCATCTGTAAATTGCCGGAACCTTCCGGCAACGAACAGTACCTGATTGAGGGGGTGAGGATGAGAAAAAAGAAAGACAAGAAAAGATGGGGTCGGGAGGACTGAGACTGAAGTCTGCAGCCCCGAATTTTATTTTTCCAACCTTTAAGTACAATTCTGAAGGAGGAAATATTTATTTCAGGCAATCATACAGGTGGCCGTTTCTGCTAACATGATGAGTTCCTGTACAGATAAGTTCCTTCAGCACCTGACCTTTTACAACCACCTGACCTTTCACAACTCCTTTTACAGCGCCTTGTGTGTCAGCAGGCTCCTATCAATTGTTTTACCCTAAAGCAAAGACATCTGCAGTTAGCAGCATTCCTAGAGGTGGTAGTAATTTTCCACTTAGGTTAATGGAAAAGGGGGGCAATATGAGACCTGTGTTCTACACCCATGCCTGCATTCAGGCATATAGGACCCCCTGCATTCAGGGCAGATCCCCACAGTAAATTGGCAAAATGAGTTTAAAACTCTGATCAGTAGTGAAACTGATTTTGTGAAAAAAAGACTTGCACTAAGAAGGTAGAATTTTTATTGCCTGAACATGTTGGGAACAGAATAGTAAGTCCAGATAAACTTTGAAGGAAGCTAAGCCAGAAGGGCAGTGTATTTGGGGGCAGGGATTTGGAGAGATGTGGGTATTAATGTTGGCAGGGCCCATCTCTAACTTCCCCGGCTTTCCATCCCTGCAGACCTTAGTTGCTCTATGTGTAAAACAAGTTCTGATGAAATGATCTTTAAAATACTCTCCAGCTTTGAAGTTCAGTTTCTCAGGAAAGAGTGGATATACCTTCTCAGGATTAAGTAAGTTTAGGGATGGAAAATCATGAAAAGGTGTTATGTCCTAGTCTATACAAAATGATAAATTCTTGTATCCAAAATTCAACATATTTTATTTTTATGCATGTATGTATGTATGTATTTATTTTTAAAATATATATATTTTATTGATTTTTTACTGAGAGGAAGAGAGGGATAGAGAGTTAAAACCATCGATGAGAGAGAAACATTGATCAGCTGCCTCCTGCACCCCACCCACTGGGGATGTGCCCACAACCAAGGTACATGCCCCTGACTGGAATCGAACCTAGGACCTTTCAGTTCGAAGGCTGATGCTCTATCCACTGAGCCAAGCTGGTTTCAGCAAAATTTAACATATTTTAAATGGAGGTTGCCCAGCAAACATAGATCTGGTTTTTATGTCCATTGTTGTGTTTATTTTCTTAATGGGAAGAATGACTTGGTTTAGAGATTAAAAAAAAATTGAGAAGAAATTTCCCAATATCTAAGCATGAATCCCAAGCAAGTAGACAATACTTTAACATATAGCTGGAACATTATAGTTTATGAAACCTTTCACTTTATCTCTTTTAAAAAATATACTCTTATTGATTTCAGAGAGGAAAGGAGAGGCAGAGGTAGAAACATCAATGATGAGAGAACCGTTGATCAGCTGCCTCCTGCACCCGCAACCTGAGCATGTATGCTGACGGGGAATCAAACCCCAACTTCCTGATTCTTAGGTGGATGCTCAACCACTGAGCCACGCTTTGAAATTCCATGGAATCATGGAGAAGGTTTCTCCAGGGCTCCCAACATCTGCTATGTGTGGGTATCAGCAATTCTCCTTCCTATACTCTTCCTCTCAGGGATCCCCTCTCTTCTCAGCCTTTAAATATGCAGCAAAGCCGAAACTGGTTTGGTTCAGTGGATAGAGCGTCGGTCTGTGGACTAAAAGGTCCCAGGTTCAATTCCGGTCAAGGGCATGTACGTTGGTTGCGGGCACATACCCAGTGGGGAGTGTGCAGGAGGCAGCTGGTCGATGTTTCCCTCTCATGGATGTTTCTAGCTCTCTATCTCTCTCCCTTCCTCTCTGTAAAAATTCAATAAAAAATAAAAAAATAAAATGTATTAAATATGCAGCAAAGAGATCCCACAGAGGCCACAGCCCTCACAGAAGGTAGATCTAAGGTCACCTAGATTCGGTGTCGGAACCTCTCCCACCAAAGGTGTTAGACACCCCCAGTTGTGACATCAGCTCCTCTCCAAACCTCCCTGCTCCTTTACCTTCCCTAAGCAGAGCTCATTGCCCATGCTCTAGATTCTTTTCCTGAAGATATTTTTGTCTTTGCAGATATTTTTTTTCCATCTTTTTATTAAGGTAGTATATGTGTACATATCTTACCATTGCTCTTTGCAGATATCTTTGATACCTTGAAATGACTTGTTTATGTGTTCTGCCGCCCTACTAGACTGCGAGCTCCTTATGAATCTGAGTTCTATTCATCTTTGAATTTCTGGAACCTGGAACATAGTGAGTGCCCAATAAATGGTGTAGTAATGAACGTAAGATGCTTCAGTGCCATTAAGAGAACAAAAAGGAAGCTCTTGAGGACGGTGAGGTCTTTCTAAGTGTCTTGTGAGGCTGGCCCTTAGAACCCTGGGTCAGTAGCAATTCCTTCTCTTCATACCTGTTATTTATAACACCTACCACCGCTTACGTGGTAAAGGGACAGCATTATCAGGCATTGCTGCATGAATTTTGGCCCTGTGTTGTGGAAGGATCTAAATGTTAAATACCGCCGAAACCGGTTTGGCTCAATGGATAGAGCATCGGTCTGCGGACTGAAAGGTCCCAGGTTCAATTCTGATCAAGGACACGTACATTGGTTGCGGGCACATCCCCGGCAGGGGGTGTGCAGGAGGTAGCTGATTGATGTTTCTCATCGATGTTTCTAGCTCTCTATCTCTCTTCCTTCCTCTCTGTGGAAAATCAATTTTAAAAAAAATGTTAAATACCTATATTAGTTTCCTGTGGCTGCTGTAACGAATCACCACAAATTTAGTGGCTTAAAAACAATGCAGACTTATTGCCTTGCAAATTTGGAGGCCAGAATGATTCTTATGGGGCTAAAATCAAGGCTATTGGCAGCACTTGATTGCTTTT